AGAGCATGGCTAATATTGCTGTTTAAAGCCTTCAGAAAAATAAGGTAACGTTTAATTTATGTTAAACACCTTATACATGAATATAAGGCCAGCGTGTAATAAAAAAATATATTTATTCTTATAGTATTTTTTTACGGTTGAGCTTCAAGCATTACTGTGTTGTCTGTCGTTCACCGTTGTAATCTGAATAGGCTATTCCCCTCTCCTGCAGCGTTTTTCTTATCTGTAATTGGCCAGAGGTTGTTGGTCTCTTCTGTGCCTCCACTGATTATGGTAAACGCGAACAAGGGTATGATTCAGCACACTGTTATTCAAGGATCAGGGTTTTTTTTTTTGCAACGACCTTTATTTGCATAATTACTAGAAAAATACAAATTCGCAATTAGCGACTCTTTTTTATGAGAGCATCACGGTTCAAATAGTTAAGTTAAAATCGACTAAGTCATAGTAGATGTGGGAAACATTCCCTACAATTTGTACGGGCTATGTGGGCGTTTATGTTCTGCAGAAAAAAAAACCGCTAACACCTGAAGAGTTTGTGTTAAGCTATGTCAATGAAGACGACTTTACGAAGCATGGACTCCTGAATCAGAAGGTTTCCTAATCACATAGGAATTTTATACAGAAATCCTCAAAGTGTTATTTCCAAAATAGCTACGGATGTTAACACACAATTCCATACAATTGATGTGTTACACGATATTTTCAAAGAGGAACGTGTCTTCAATTAAACTTAGCAGCTATCTGATTGTCAAATAAGAACGGAACGTTAAATGGGGTTCTAATTCTATATGTCAGAAACCGAAATTAATATTCCCCAGCCTTGGTATAAAAGCAAGAATAGTATGAAAACAAACAATCCACCAGCCTAGAAATGTACTACTGTATATTAAATTTACAGTGGAGCATATTTCGCAGCAGGAGGAACAAAGAAAAAACTATTACAAAAATGGAGACTTGACCGCCTCGTAATTTGTCTTCAGTACAGTTTTGCTAATCGTAGTCTTCGTGTCGCATAAAATCATAAAGCTCTTTCCAAAATTCGCCTTGGTTTCTATACAATCATAACAGCTAACTTTTCTTTGCCCGTAGATGTCATATGACCACAACACAGCAGTCATGTGCCCGCGCACGCCAGAGTCACGTGGCTGTGTGAGTCAGCAACATGGCGGTGGACGTTTATGTCATTTTCTGAAAAGGGATTCTGAGTTTCCAATGCCCTGATTCGGACAGGATCATTCTCTCTGTTCTTATCCTACTGCAGCCGCAGAGATTCGAAGGAAGGGAGAGACAATAGCGAAGATGGAGTGGTTCGGCAGTGGATCTCCCGGATTTTCTAGGGAGAAAGATGGTGAAAGTGTCGGTTCGAACAGCCTCCTGAGTTCGCCACTGTGCCAGCAGGTACTTGCTGAATGTAGACAGAGATGAGTCTTGTAACGGTTGCTGAAAGTCAACAGATGCACGCTGTTCTCATGCAGTAAATGCACACACTTTAAAATGTGTTCGACAAGATCAGTAGTGAATTTGTAAAAATCTCGTTGTTTACTTACTTTATTCTTCCGAATTAGAACCCATCTCTGAAAATTGTATATTACGGTCTTCCAATTTGTTATTATTGTAAATGCGTGTTAGTAATGTAAAAGTTGTACAAAATGCTGCATTCCTGCTAACATACTATAGCTATATCAAACGACGTGCTTTGCAGTGCATGTTATTATTACATTCTAAACAATAACCCGCAACTCACTTTATACTTCAAGTACAAATTCAACCGCATTATTTTCAGAAACTAACACTCTTCCATGGATAACGAAATATACCCTGAGCCTCAAAATCAACTTGTTTTCAGAAACATGTCAGTCTTTTTTGCTTGGTGTTCTGACATTTTATTGAGCAGCCTTTATTTAGGCAAGGCAAGCTAATTAACCTGATTAGCATTTGTCATGAGCAGGGTGATTAACAGGGTGTCTCCTGTGAAAGTCACAGGTTAGTAGTGTGGGTGGTTACTGTTGGAAGCAACATAAGCAGTGTACATGTATCTTGATACATGCTTTGCATCAGGTTGCAAGATGCTGACATGTGGGCTTCAGTCCCATTCCCATTTTAGAGCTTAGATAACACTGTGCCTGTTCATTGGTCTCTGAGCCCCAGATGTCCAATGTTTTTCCAGCTCATCCTGCAAACATTCAGTGAAGCTTAAAACTGATGAGTAGGGCATCAATGGCATAATTGTCACATTTCCAGCTCACAAGAAACAAAACATTTTTAAATGGGCTGTAGCAGGACATGTTTTGTTCTCCAGGAATGTTGTCATGTCAGGACGAGCCTGCAGGAAGTACAGCAAGGCAACTCGCAGGAGTTCATCAGTGCAGTGCAGTGCAGTGCCGTGCAGTGAGGTTGCCCTCAATCGCTGCAACTGGAGTTCTGTAAGGGAATAGACACTTCTCCACAGACCGTCGCACTTGGACCTCACCCAGCGATTCTGGCAATGTCAGACAATCAAGCGAGATGCCATGACTCATAGTCTCCCTGACTGTGGCCAGATCATTGACGGGCTGTGTTTGGCTTTAACATCTTGCCAAGTTAGAATTTGCTGGCTGTGAATAACCCTGACAATGAGGGACAGTGTGCTGACTTACTCCAGCCTCCAACATACTGATGGGTTGACAGCATTGTTTTCTCAATAAGTGGGACATGATGTTTCCTTGCAGTGTTAATTTGTTATTTCGTTGATTTTCACCAGGTGTGACTTTCAGCAGGTTTCATCACATGCAAAATCCACTCTTCAAGCTATGGGGTAATTTTAGTGATTATACAATAATCACTGGAGTGTTTTAGACTCAGTCAAGAATAATCATTAAATCAAAAGGCAGCCAAATACATTAGCCAATATTCAAAACCTGTTTTCCATTTTTCTAAAACTAAAACAGTAAAACTAGAGTAATGTATTTTTAATGTTCATATATTTATCTTAAAATCTTGGATTTAGAATGCAGCCAGTTCACTGTAACTGAATGATATCTAATGAGACAAAGCTACTTGCCTCTGACAAGCTGACGTCCTATGACTGGATAGCATGCACAAGAGCTCTGGCGAAGTTACAGGCCTTACGAAACGGTGGCCCATATTAAAAGTACACTCTATATAAGAGTTTTTACTTTTCAAATGAATAAAATGCAGCCTGTGCATTTTAATAAGGGAAAATCCCTAGTGGATCTTAAAATTGTAGTTTTTATATTGGGACATAGAAGGGGCTTTTGTGCAAGAAACTGGTCCTTCAAATTAGACCTGATTGAAACTGAGCTTTAAAAATATATCAAATGCGGACTGTTATGGGTATTAGCAGGGTAATGTTGTAATAACAGAAATATTATTTTCTAATTGTCTAGATTTCTGGTTTGACAAAGTCATGTGTGATGACTGTTGGCTTTGCCTTCAAGACCTATTATAGAAAACGTGTCTTAACATTCAGAAAAAAGTGACTGTTCGTGTCACTGTATCCTAACAGCTAGCGCACATAATTTGAAGTTGACCTCTTTTACTACTCGAAATATATTCGTTTCTGGTTTCAGTTCATACAATGCTATCTGTTGATCAGAAATAAATGCCTTAAATAACAACCAGGAAGTTGTACTTAACCCTTGTTCATCTTTTGCAATCTTTTAGTGACTGAGACATGTCTGGGTGCATTTGGTCCCTCGCCCTGATAGCATCTGTCGCTACAACAAGATGAGTTATGAAATTGACGTGCCAAAGTAAGAAATCTCTAAAGATGGCAAGGTAGTTGCAGTGGAATTGAGATGTAATTCTGATCTGCAGGATGGGCAGTACCACCTGAAGACGGGGTGGGAGCGGGGTTAATTCAGGCTGGGAGCAAATCGCTTGGGGGGCATTTCAGCTGGTTTGAGGGATTCTGCTCTCAAGATCTCCGGATGGGAATTGGTGGAACCTGGTTCGAGGAGTGGGAGCTGTTTGTCCACAACCTACCACTTATGCTTCAGTGTTTCCAATTTAGTATTCTGGTTGAGAAGGAAGAAATTGGCCTCAGAAGACGATTTTCGGCGTGTTTTCCTGGTTCACCGACGGAGATGTTTGCGATGGGGCAGGTTGAAGTGCAGCTGCCGACTGCCATTTGATACGATGCGCCATCTTTGTCCCAGGTCGGCGCGGCCAGCGTGGAGTCCCTCTGCAGGAGCCAGCAGCAGTGCGTGAAGGACTCCATCGTCGGCAGCTGGCAGCTGGCGGAGGCTCAGGACAGGCTGTGTGGGCTGGAGCTGCACGGCTCGGAGTCGGCGGAACAGGAGCGTGCCCGGGCTCAAGCCAGCTCCGCGGAGCTCTTTCAGACCGAAAGGGAGTGGAGACACAAGGAGAGCCTGCTGGGCAGTGAGGACAGAAAGAGCCCTGTGCTCTGTAACACCTACAGCAGAGATGTGTTCAATAAGGTATGGGTTTCACCGTACCGTTAAAGTAGTAACAGCTGATAAATAATGAACAACCATCTGTTTGGTACAACTGTATGGCTTTCTTTGTACAGAATTATTTTTTTCAAACCAAAAACCTGAATGATGTCATTTGAATAACTCTTATTAATAAGGCGTATTTTAATACAACAGACATTAAGTGAGGCAAGGTTTGATAGCAGTCTCATAAAATGTCAGCACTGGTTAAGTTAGGATATTGCAGTTAAGAGCTAAGCTCATCAGCCGCCTGCATTTACCAGTTCAACAGACTGTATTCAATTAAATACACTGTTTTGTTTTCTTTTGCAACATCTCTTCTACATTTTAAAACACAGATTCAGAGACTTGTTGTTTCTTTTAGCCGAAGAACTTGGCTAAAAGCTCTTCTAAATAGCTCACCTACAGTATAAGTGATGTAGGAGAATACAGCTTTGCTCTTGTACTTCATATGCATTCATCAGGGCAGGAGCTATTTCCAGAGGAGCTGCTCTTGCAGAGAGACGAATGAGATCTTGTTTCACTGCAGAGGCGTTGACCCAGCTTTAAAGTAGACTCTGCCAAGCTGACTCTGCGTCCTCGTCTTTTTCAGCTCCTGGGTATATGCTGCAGATCTGATCTGATGTTCTGCACTATTTCTCTTACGTGACCCAGTAAGACACTCCTGGGTTCAGGGGCAAAGTGTTATCTCTGCACAGCACCTGCTCTAAGGCTGAGCTGTGTTGCAACACCTCCAGTCTGTGGTTACTGTCACCTGGGAATCCAAATGGAATGCTGCTACAGATTTGAACAGAACTGTATCCATCGATGAAATTTTAGTGCACATCAAAGTGTTCCACTGGGCCTGGTAGGATGGCTAGTATCCGGGATAGGTCACTTTTCATGAGCCAGGTAGTTGTAACTCCGTGTTGTGTTATCAAGCTTCACTCGGCACATGTAGCGAGGCAATTTGAAAGATATACATGTATGACATCCAAAATGTCGACAGATCTTCATGGTCATTACAAAGACAGTCGATTCCAGATGTGCTGTACTGGTGAAAAACCTGGATTCATTTAGATTCTCAAGGCTCCTTTGTCTTCTACAAAGTCATTCACTTCCTCAAAAAATGCCTCCTTCTGGTCATTGTGTTTCATCTCTGCCCATGGGATGAACTTCATCAAGCCCAGTTTCGTCATAGCTTCATGTATGCACTTGTGCACTCAAGCTACAGGATATATTTTGCCTTCAGGAACTCCAGTTACTGAGTTCTGCACTAATGCTTTTTCAATGAAAAGATCTTGAAGGCAGGGATACTGAAATACATTCTCAATAATTGATAAGGCATTGTAGATGTTGTGAATAATCGAAGGATGAGGTTTCCATGCTTTTCTTCTTGCTTCCAGTATATTTTTGCTGCTTTCATACAGAGAAGTAGACAAAACCAGTTTTAAGTAAGTACTGGTATACTAATGATGAGCTTTGTCACTTAAAATACATTAAGAGGTGTACTCTTTTCTGTAGTTAGGTTAAAGATAGTTTCTAATCATTTATTATGTTTGTTTTATGCAGAGTATTATTAATGTGCAGAATGGAAACAAAGAGGCAAATGATGATCTTAGCCAAACCTTTATCCAGAAATATGAACATCAGTTAAGGCATTATGGTAAGTCAATTTGAATGTTTTTTCATTAGCTTTTTTCATATTTGCAACCCCCTGGTTTAAGTGTTAGTGTGTCAATTGTAAGAAATACGATCTGAATTATTGATGAAATAAGACTGGGATATGTTTTTCAAGGTATGCTGAGGCGATGGGACGACAGTCAGCGATTCCTGTCTGATCACACTCATCTCATTTGTGAGGAGACCGCAAATTACCTGGTTCTGTGGTGTTTCCGCCTGAGTGCAGAAGAGGTACCGCTGGATTCTTTCAGGCATTCTTTCAAGGGGGTCTTCAGCTCACATCCGTGTAGAATTTGAGAAAACTGGATCATAGTGGTCAAAGCATTTTGATTACCTACCAGTGAAAACGAATTAGGACGGCACGTTGGCACAGTGGTTAGCGTTGCTGCCTCGGGGTCCTGGTTTCAATTCCGTGGGTGCTATCTGTGTGCATGTTCTCTATGTGTTCGTGTGGGTTTCCTCTGGGTGCTCTGGTTTTTGCCCACAGTCCACAGACTTGGCTTCTGGGAAAATTTGTCCTGGTACGAGTGTGTGCATGTTTGTGTGTGTCCTGCAATGGACAGGAGTCCCATCCAGACTGTATTCCTGCCTTGCAGCTGTTGTTAACCGAGGTAGGCTTCGACTCCCCCTGTATTGGAAGAAGCAGTTAGAAAATGGATGGATGGAAAGCAAATTACTTGTAAATGGAATTTTACCTACTAGATGTGCAAGATAGCAGTATCGAAAATTTAAATTATTGCTGTTTTTTTTCCATTTTTTAATTCTGTCTTGTCTGATAGTTTAAGTGTTAATTGTGCAATAATTAAATGAGAATTGTAGGCAGTTCCTCCTAGGAGCAGAGAGACTCGATTAATTTTTCATTGAGATTTCTTTGCCAATTTGAAGGAAGGAACTGGCTGCGAATATTTTTTATAGAAGCCTTGAATGCAGTGTCATTAATAAGAACGGAAACAGTTTTTTTTCCCTGTTTTGTAAGGAGGTGTCCTACTGAGTCAGTGCTGAAAGTGTGTTTCAATGCACCAGACCTTCATTGAATTTCTGATAAACCATCTGTATCTGTGTCTCGCAGAAAGAAGCTCTAATGGAGCAGGTGGCTCATCAAGCAGTGGCCATGCAGTTCATTTTGGAGATGGCCAGCACAAATAAAGAGGATCCGAGGGGCTGCTTTCGAAAGTTCTTCCAAAAAGCCAAAGTAAGGCAATGTTACACTCAACATGCAGTTAGATCTGGATGGGTTATAGCATACACAGGTCTTGCAGCTTACTAGTTTCCTACTGTGTCGTAATGTGACCTGTTATAGCACAAAATCATTTAGAATACAGTAAGCTGTTGTTACCAATTGGGTATTTAAAAAGCCAGACCTTCCTTATCTAACTTTTAAGGGAGTTTGAACAAGTAACAGCATAATGCACACAGGGAGAGCATATGAATATATAAATATATTTAGACTTTACAAATGTCAAGTTTCTTAGATATTCTCAAACTTCAGGGTGTAGACATTCACAATAATCAAACATGAAGAGTTTAATGCTAAAAAGTAAAACAAAAATCAGAGCTTTGACTGTGAAGTGTTCTGCAGACAGAATGGGTCAAATGAAGCAGAGAGCAGGAATGTGAGGGGGAAAAAAAAGAAATGTAAAAAGGGATCGGAAGAGATGAAAAATTGTTAATAAAAAATCAAGTGACTGTCATCACTACCTTTCTGTGGTAAAAAAAAACGTGGGATTTAGTTAATAGTGTAACAGTTGGTTATAAAAAAAGCAAACAAAATAGTAACGGGGTTAAGCCAGTTCTTTAAATAGCTAATATCTTGGGAACAATCCCCCACTAGAGTTTAAAGTGGTATTACAGGGCTTAGCAAAAGAGCAGTCTGAAATGTGTGTCCACAATGGAAAATATTCTTCCACAATAATCATTTAACAAATGACGGTAATGTAAGAAAACACCACTGACATTTACAAGGACAGCTTGTCTTAATGGAAAATAGAGTTGAGTCTAACATTATGAGAACTGCATCCCTGTACTTTCTTTAATTTTAGGAAGGCCAGGAAGGCTACGTGAATATCTTCACGGCTGAACTGGAAGCTTTCAAACAGCGAGTGAGAGAGTACACAATGAAGTGCAAGAGTGAGACTTTTACAGCCCCCGAGCTTCAGAACACCCCAACTGTTAGCTTACTGGACCCTAAAGAGGTCCTGGAGTCTTTACCACCTGTGAGTATGGTCTTCTCTGTCTTTTGTGCTCATTTTTGGTTGTTTTTTTTTTTTCAAATAAAAGAAAATAATATTGTGCCTACCCAAAACCTTCCATCTGCTATCCCCCTCCACTCCAAGCTTGTCCCCATGGATCTCTAGGTCAGACAGCTACAACGAACTGCCAGTCAACCAGCCTTTAACTACATCAGCAGAGCACTCCAGCTTCCAGTGTCCCTATATTGACAACATGAATCCTATCTGCAGGAGTACATGGACTTGACTAGTTAATGGATCGAAAGCAGCACAAATGAAGGGGTGATGCTCTGTAAAGCAGGGATTTGTATTAGGACTATTGCTCTTCCTAATGTGTACTAATGTTTTCAGGACAATCCGCAAACACGGTAGAAACTGCAAACTGCAAATAAACTGTGGAAAGATTCCGATAGAATTCAAGACTAGGTGAACACTTCTCAGGTGGCTTTTAATGTAGACAACTGCAAAGTATTACATGCTGGTAGCAACTTATGAACTAAAAATATAAGGATGGGACTGCTGAACTTAGCTTGTGAAAAACACTTATGTTGATATTTTTCCCCCTCTTGACTGAGTAATACAAAAGGAAAGGATATATGATTAGAAGTGCTGAATCTAAGTCAAGGGATATTACATTTTTTAAGGCACTATTAAAGCCTAATTTTAATTTTGATGTTGATTGCTGACATTGCTGCTCTTGAATCAGTCCAGGGAAGAGTGGCCAGATAAATTCCCAGGCTTAAAAGCATGCCCTGCACTGACAGGCTAACAGAACTAAACCATTTTAGATTCTAGCAGAGAAGACTACAAGCGGATCTGTTACAAGTATTCATAATCCTCAAAGGCTTTGATCAATGAAGAAGAAGTAGAAAATGAAATGAAGCGGAGCTTTTAAAACCAAGAAAAGGGGGCACTTTTTTACAAAAAAGGTTTAGTGAGAGTCTGGAAACCACTACCCAGCCATAATGTATTTTACTGTAGGAAGCCTTATCTTCCATTTGTTTTGATATAATTGGGGATTCACATGTGTGCCTCATCGTACTTTTAACTGCCTGGTAGGGCTTAGTGCTGAGGATGCAGGTTAGTTTTCCAGTGGCTTTCTTTGCTGTCTTAAGAACTCTTGACATATAGGAACTGTCTTAGACATAACAAGAGGATGCAGCAAGATACTAAAATTATATTAAGTAAAACAATTAAGATAAGAATGTAAAATGGTGTTAAATGGCTTGAATTATATTATGGTGCAGTTTCAAAAGTGTGATTTTAAAGTGAAGAAATAAAGAAATGTCCCATTTCATGTGCATAGGCCATAGATCATTGTGGTGTCATGGTAACAGCAGTAGAATCCCAGGCAAACAGTGAAAATCTCCAGACTGTTCCATATTAATCTGCTGCAGAAAAATAGGCATTCCAAGTAGGATTAAAAGCTAAATGCCTGAATAGCAACTGAGTTTAGTTTTTGCTGTTCAGGCTGTGGAGCATTTTTGGGCTTCACAGATAATGCTGCTGCTGCCTCACAGATGTTGGTTCAGTTCCAGACTGGAGTCCCTTCTGTGTGAAGTTTGTATGCCCTCCCTGTGTGAACCTGGTGCTTCCACCCCCCTCCCAGAGTTGCTCGTGTACTTGCTCTGCAATCTACTTGAGACCCATCCAGGATGTAGTCCTGCTTAGTGCCCCTTGTGCTTTCCAGGATACGTTGTGGGTCTTTTCAGGGCTTTTACCAGGAATAAGCACCCTTCTGATGCTCAAGTGGTATTAAACACCAAAACTGGGAACACTAATAATTATAGTAATTCTATTTTTTAAATTTGGAATTGTGATTTATTGACAGAAATATAATACCAACCAAAAAAATTGGAATAGCAAAGTCAAAACATGTATTTTTGCTTTACAGTCAGAACTTTGATTTGTGACCATGAGAATAATATGTATGATGAATATATGGCCTCATTATTAGTAGTAAAGATAAAATTGCTTCTCTCCCTTCTGTTGAAGGACCTGAAGAGGGGTTTTCAGCTGCAAGATATGCAGATTCTGCAGAATGTTCTCGGCAACATGAACCCACAGGTGAGCTGACAACTCTTATGTAAACGTTTTTGTTTCTTTATTAAAAATGAACACAAGATGAAAGTGTACTCTTAATATTTTTAAAGTTGTCATTGAGGCATGTTCAAACGTCCCCTGCTTAAATCGAAATGAAAATTACCTGGGTAAGTGTTACGTTCTCTTAATTTCAGAGGTAAAATGATAATTTTATCAGCAGGTCTCTGTGCCAGCAGTTTCTTTCTCCAGAAACTCATTCCAGTGTTGCCCATTTCTTACAGAACACAGTTTGTGGCCCGTTTTAGAGGTCTGACTTTTAGCCTTTTGATTGAAATAAATGTTTGCGGACCATGCACTTCTCATTTGGACAGCTTTCTGTAGTAACAGATGATGTCATCTTCAGCAGTAGGAAGTAGCTTTTTAATAAATTGCTCTGAGACCAAAATATGAAAATAATATTTGTGAGCTAATTGTGTCTGATGACTGAAGAAATATATCATCAGTGGCACAGCATTCACATACCTTAAAGCTATAAATAGGGTGATGAGTATTTTACTCTGTGAGCTGTCTGACTGGTATTGTATTTTAAAATATTTCCATACAAAGTCAATAGACAGTTCTATTCATTGTGTACTTTTTAAAGCCAATAATATGTACATAAAAAATACAAAGACACATCTATTGGGACACTGGTCAAATACATTTACATTTAAGTAGGAAGACTTTATTTGTTAAAAATAACAACATATTGGAATAAGATATCCCTATCTCTGTTTAAGAAATGGATACTTATGAGGTAAATACACATTTTCACACAGTTCTGAACTTCATTTGCAGAAAGGTTAGCAGGTATTAATTAAAACCTGTAATTCAATATTCTTCCATTGGAACGCATTTGATAAAGAGTTTTCCAGTGCTGTTAATCCACTTATCTTGTGTAATAAACCAGTGGAGTCAGTGAATGGGGAGAGCGTTCTGTCATTAGATGTAATCAGTCTAATAAGGATTACCACTGGTAAGGATTTATAATTGAAATGTGTAAGAAATAACATTTTCCATAACTAGCAGGCTTCAAAATTAATTCCTTTTCTGTCACCACCTGCAGGTTGCTGAATACTACGTGAAACGCTGTTTGGATGCTGGGCTGTGGGTCAGCTCTGCTAATGGGACAAAAGGAGAAGCCACAGAAGATACCAGGACAATGGAGACCTCATAGCGAAAGACTGCCTTGACCTAGGGATTTCCTGCAAAAGGGGGACTGAGGCTATTTTTCTATTTAAATCAGTATGCGCCTCAACATGTGCCGCACTTTATATTTGTTCAGTGTTATTTAAAAGGAAATTCTATATTGGAGCATTGCCCTGTTTTGACTTTGGAGTTGGTTTGAAAAAGGAAGAGCTGCTCTTGCCACGCGTTGAATGTTGCAGCATGGTGGTATTTAAGGATGTGTGCACCTTAAGTCTTCTTTTCACCTTGTAAAGTCTCCAGAAGAGTGTCAAAGCCCCATTACAGGGGGGAAAGAAAGCATCATTTTCCTTAGCAGCAAACAAAGTTGGCTATTGGCTATTGCTTTGTCACATAAATTCCAGGATGTTAATTTATTTGTTCCTTTCTGGTTTATTGGTGTAGCCATTAACAGTCAGATTGAAGCAGTTCTTTATGCTTTGAAAATAGAGTACAACTGAAATTCTGCATCTGCAACATTCAGAGCTTGATACAGCAGAAAGAAGGCAAGAATATTTTTCCTCAATGTGGACTTCTTTGTTCCTGTGTTGCCTTGATGCCCACGCCCCCATGAGAATGAGACTTGATGATCAGCAAGGGGAATGTCGTCACTCAGCTCACGGTCACAGCATGAGGGCAGCCAAAGGTATAGGTCTTCTCTGAGATCGGAAGGCGATAAGGCTGAGCTGTACATTTGCTGAAATACTATTTCTTTGTCCAGATTTTGTTCTTTCTAAACATACTGTAAATCATTTTGTACACTTCAACTGACAAGGCTATAAAATGAAACAGATTGAAGAACCATGGAGACAAAGCTTAATATGGCTACCACCTTGCATAATGTACATATTTGCATTTTCTCTTCATGTTTTACTTTATTAACACAATACAACTAATAAACACCATCCTGTCTACCACATTATATAATTGTACTATGCAGGCCAAACTCGAGAGAACCAGGATGATACATGACCTCTCCGATAATAACGCAAACCTGACCGTCTCACTTCGGTTGAATTTTTTTTCCTGGAATCAGAAATTGATCATCTTGAAAGCGACAAAAAAGTGCATTATGAGCTTGTCAGTCTTTTATATGGGTTGAAGGTTTCCTGGGCAGAGATAAAATGGTGCCCATAAGATGTCTGGAGTACTTTGTGTTTCTGATCAAACATTTGAAGGAAGATGGGATCTGTCAGAGTGGTAAACCATGTAGGGCAGGGCGTGAATGAGGAAAAGATTTTATGATGGAAAAAGTGTGTCTGTTAGTGGTGTAAAGATTGTTTAAGTGGGTGCCTGTCTGTGTGCGGTTTGCATCTTATTCTAATACTAGTTTTCGGCAATTCCTCTGTCCTTAAAGCCATGTAGGTTAGGCTTGATGGGGAAATCAAGGGAAAACATTTTTCACTCATCCCCAGTTATAATGCATATGGTTTTGCTTTTCTTTTTGTTTTGTTTTGTAGTCCTGCAACCACCATTTTCAGTTCTGACATAATGGAAAAAATAAAGTCATTGTCATGGGGTCATGACATGAAATCATGAAAGGGGTCATGTCTCCAGATGAAAGCAATGCCGGGAAGCTGAAATCCTGCTTATTGGATGTAGCCAGTGGAGAAAAGCACCACTTTTCATCATAACAATTGCAAAGCTTAGATTAAATTTGAATATACATATCTGTTTGAGTATATTTTTTGAGGTATATATAGACATAACTTTTAATACGCTTCTGGGAAATTTAAGATCTTAAACTGCTGGTGTTTTAAGCTTTTGTCAATGGCACATATGGTTTTGCAACATTATTTGGTATGCCTGGCTGAGGGGAATATATATCTTCAATAGTTCATAAAATAGGTTTACAAATTAATAGCCCCACTTCCTGCTGCCTCTTATTTTTTGTTTCTGGCTAACTTCTGTCATGTTGTAATTCTGAACAAAACTTCCAAGTGCATTTCAGTAGTTACTGCTGCAAATAAATAATGTCACAGTGTAATGTGTTATTTTTCGATACAGTGCAGCTTTTTTTGCTACAAATGGGGAAAAAAACTGGAATCACTCTTCACCATTAATGCCTAAAAGATGTTCTAAAATAAGTATGTTCAATAATAAAGATAAATGCAGACTGCTGTGTTGCAGTGTTTGGTGTTATGATTGTTCAGTACTTGAATATAATGTTTTTCCTGTTCTTTCAAAAGGAATTTGTCATTTTAATTTGCTCTTAATTATTAAGAAATAGGAATGTTACATTTTTAAGAATTATGTTCTCATTCATACTGATTTAGAAAATATTTTTTTCTGAACAGCTACAAGCCAGCTGTTCATCTACTGACCTATAAACAGCAAGGGTTTATTCCATGTTGATGTAGTTTTTTTACAATCAACCAATCATTCAAACAGATGGGATGTATTTAGTGTGTACTGGGGTTGCAGAAAGCCTATTAAGAGTGTTCACATTCTGTTCATGAATTGCCTGACACCACTTTAAAAAAATCAGGAGGGAAATTTTAATACAGAAATACAAATAAATGATTTCATACAAAAAAAAGAGGTGATGGAATCTATAGTGTCATTTAACAAATACATTTCTTCAGCGGTCTTAAACCTTTGGATTAGCATTATTAACTTTTAGCACTTAATTATATTTTGTATTTAACAAGTGTACATTGTTAAGCACATTAAATGTAAAGTGAAGGCATGGAAAGGACAGTATTTTAATTTACGGTAATTCTGCATATCTAAAATGACAAGCACTTATTTGAGTCTGTGGCAACTGTGTCTGTTTTTTGTAAAAGAAGAATCTACATCTTTTCAGAGTTTTAACCAACAGAAATGGTATGTATTTTACTCTGTACTTAAGAATGGGTGCACTTTCTTAATTGCACCCTTTTGTGAATTACAGCTGTGCAAGAGCTGACAACAATGAAATGCTCTAATTAAGCAAATTATTAGTTATTTTAAATGTATAAACATTTCAGACCTCAGTGGTATCACAACTGAACTACATCTAAATTAGGAGGGATGGTTTGCAGGGTTAGGGGTCAGCTAACAGAATAGGAAAGGATTGTGATTTTAAGAACTATAAGACCTCATTTCCAACTGGGTTACACTCTTCATTATATCCTGGGGAATGTAACTGCAATGCCTCCTTGAACAGAACCTTCCACCGACTGCCCATGGTGTTACTATCAATCTTGATTCTTGATTCTACCAATCACGATGTAGAAAAAATCCCCAAAGTAATTTGAAGATGATAAAAACCTGATCTTTGTCATTCATTTAATCAAGACAAAGGAAATCTCAGTATATTTCATAATATCTAACTAATGACATGCTGTTATTCAAAACAACAAAAAAGCATCTAACAAAAAATTGTACCCAAATATTTACCTACACCAACTCAGATTAAGACCATGAAGTCAAATCCAAAACTGAAAGCCAGAAATGAGTGTGGTGTGATGCAAATGCTTGAGAGCTTGCTCCTTTTTGACAACCAGTGTACTATAAAATGGTATCCTTTGACCAATTAAAAGCTAAGCTTAAATTTTCATTGAACAGAAAATGCCATTCTATTGACTTACTATGCAGTAGATTTTAAGATGTACACTTGACAAAAATTAAGTAGTATTACAATCACATCCAGCAAATTATAATGAGATCAGTCTTGACACCATATAGAACATGCATATCTATCAGCTATATCAGATAGAGGTGGATTCTTGACTTCTTACACATATATTATTCAGGTCCCAAAAATATGTTAGTTTTATGTTAGCATTATGTTTATGTTATGTTAGATGACGACCACTGGGTGGGACAGTAAAATTCTGCCCTACTCACATTCATTAAATAAACGTTCACCTTAAATGTTAAACTTGTGAGTTTCAGGACTGCCCTTATTCAGATGTGCTAGTAACCAATAACCAAGTGAATTTAAACACTGACTCACTGTGGAAGTATATGATACAGTGTCATTCCTACCCATGTCTGTTTATCACAAATAGATCACCTGTTAAGAGACATTTACTCACACATTTAGGATGAAATTCTGAATTTGCCAGTTGAGGAGGGATGTTCTTATTGCTTAAATTTCTGTCTAAAACTGGCAAGCAGATCACTTTCAAGTTCCAATTAACAGTTGTGATTAGGGGCCGATGTGGAACACAATCCAGCTGATATATGGGTACATCATGACCAGCAATAAGAAATGATAACTGCGATTCATCAAAAACTCATAAAAAATATATATTTTCTTTTTCAGTCTCATCCAACTCGATTATTTTATACAAATCTTGCATTAAACACCCAACACACATTTTTATCTGTTGTGACACTTTAATAGATTAGGTACTGTAAAAATATATATTGTACACCAAGATATACTGCCTGACTGTAACCCACCACCAGGCTATTAGACTTGTTTGCTGTAGAAAAAGGACACAGTAACAAAAGACATGGGCAATGGGAAATGCCATAGGAACAATCAGTACTGAGTATTTAAGTTATGACTCTTAAAGGAAGTTCATTAAAGCTTATCTACAAATAGCAAATCTATTGTTTTAAAACTACTGCAAACAACTGAAGGCAATTACAAAAGGCTGAAACTTGAAAGTACGAAACTATTAAAGACGGTCAGATTCCCTCGAGTATGACTATTACAACCAGTACAATCATTTTGTCTCAAAAGGTACATAATAATTTTACCGTAAACCAAAGCTTTTCATTAATAAAATGGAATGCATGACAGGATCAACTGTGCTACATTATATCATATGTGTTATCATATTTGGAGTCCAGATTTATTATCTGCATGTCCCTATTTACTGTAAAACATTCTATAGTGGAAGACAGGCATACACTTGTATGCAAACTAAAGGGAAAAATCATAATAAAGACTCCATTCATTTGTAAGTCACCTCTTCCTTACTACTAATTCATTAGAATTTAATACAAGCTACAGTACATTTGTACAATGGCATTCCTTTCACTGGATTGTGCAGATCTCAGGCAGGATACCTTTAAGACTATATGATCACTCGAGTTTGTCCACATTGCAAAACAACACAAAAATATTATTATATCAGTGAAATATTCCGGAGTTATTAAAAATAAAATTAAGAACACTGTGATATATATTTTGATCAAAGAGGTTTTTTTTTTCTGAAGCAAAAAGTAATGCTATAATTGGCAGCACACAGGAGTGAGAACTTGGCCCCATGCTAGAGGTGGACTCCTCTTAAGTGAAGCCATTATTCCCTTTAAACATGTTCATTGGCATGCCTTCCCAGAAGCCATACCACCCCCATCCGAGACTTTTTTCGACAGGAAAGCATGGACGTGTGGCCATATCTTATTGGTTTCTGTTCCTGAAAAGGTCTCCAATATACCCTTGTTTCTGTGGAGACAAGACAAGTAAAATGAATAATACTTTGAAGTGTAAGATTTCTCCAGCTGACAATGGCCAGCTACTTAGCTTATGACTAAGATACAGCAATCCAAGCCTTGATCGTTAAGACTAATGGGGACCAAGGATCAAACTCCATGGAGACAACTGAGATTAGCTAGTCAAGTCTTTGGGAAGTGGGAAGAAAAAGGAGCACCTGGAGAAAGCACACCTGAACATACTCCACACAGATGACACCCCAGTCTTGAATTAAACACAACTGAGAGGCAGCAGTGCTAACCACCATGCTACCCTGAATTCAATAAAATCAGTATATAGACGTATGAAGTTTCTGCCATATCAAGCAAGACAGGAAAGTAAAAAATAAAAATAAAATCCTCATTCAGCATTTTAGGGTTAGGGTTTACAGTTAAGTCATAGTTTAGAGTAAAGATCCAGGAAGAAAGTTAGGATAATGTTTAATTTAAAATTAGGGTTTAGGATCTGTAGTTAGTATTCAAAGTACTGTAGCTGGATCAGGGTTAGGATTTTTATAAATCTCATGATTTCTTTGTTTTAAAGTGCTTTTTAAAGTTAGTTGTGCTATTCAAGAAATTATAACATGACACACTGTGAAGCAGTGACATTTGACAGACAGGACAATAGGAAACCACACCCATATACTCTGAATGGCTAAAAAGAACATATGAAATCTTACAAATGAGATGAGGCTGTTTGGCCCATCTAGCCTCTTTGGTATTACTGTAAGTAATAAATAGTAAATGCTATATATGTGAAACTGTTACCAAGTATGTGCTGCCTGATTCGGATCCTGATTCAGGTTTAAGGTTACGATTAGGTTTGCATTTACTGTAGCAAAATTGAAGGCAACAAGGGCTTTTCTAGGGTTAGAACTATGAACAGAGTAAGTCACAGAGGTAATAGAAAAAGTCTAGATTAATTTCAGGCTCAAGATTGTGACTCTGATAAGTTTTTCTATTAAGCCAAGTTTAAGGTCACGGTTAAAGGTCTTACAGATATTGCCACAATAGTTTATAAACAGTATCACTACTACTGCAAGCTGCAGGAAGTACAGTGGTGTGTTAGATGGCAGTGCTGTCTCACAGCGCTTGAGTTCTGGAGTCAGTTTTTGGACTGGGGAGCCTTCACATGGATACTTGCCAGGTGCTCTGGTTTCCTCCTACATTGCAAAGACATGCTGACTACGTTCACTAGTGTCTTGACATTTTTCTCGTGTACCTGTATCTGTGTATGTCCTGCAGTGGACTGGCATGCTGTCCAGAGCCTTGTGTCCAATTCTTATCTTACCAAATGAAGCTCTAAACATCCCAAGCTTTTGAAATCCTTTCTCTCAAATAAATTTAATATAACATTTCTCTCTTAGCAATTAGTGATGTTATGGAAATTTAGGTCTTCAGTGCTGCTGCCTCAATTTGTACTGTAGACAACAAATGATCTCGATAAACCAAGAGTTCTTTGGATAAGAGTCGTATCTGGTTTTCTCAGAAAAAAAAATGGAGAGGAGGGACTGTTTAGAGCATTAAAATAATTTGACTTCAATTTTGGCATCTGGAGAACTTCGACGTATATTACTATCTGTCTCTGAAACAGGTTATTCCTACTAGCAATGGATCAAAAGTGCAGTACATGACGTTCAAGGACAAGTTTAGCTCCAAAGGAACTGTAAGCGAAAATGCTTCTTAAGTTTTTCAATAAAGGTAAAATAACTTTAATTTTCTTATAATCAATCATTTTTTTTCATTATCTCCATAGGTCAAGCCTACCTTTTCAGGCCTCTAGTACAAAAAAAACCTGATAGAGATGTTCAGTTAGTGATTCTTTGATATTTAGTTTCAAGTGAGTCCACCATTTTCCTAATTTATTCTTTTACTTTATCCAGCAAAATTTAGAAATTTTTAGAAATGGTTCTGAACAGCTCGACCATACTTACTGTTGCATCTTAGACAGTTAAGGTCACTTTTTACCTGCCAACATAATAGACAACCTGAAGTTTCTTTTTTGTTTTACTTAAATTACTGTTCATAATCTATTATTAAAATATATATGTTTGTTCAGGTTTTGTAGATGTTGTGATTATCCAAAAATAGTACATGTAAGTAGACCTTAGAGTGTGCATTTCAATATTCTTAATAACACAAATAATTCCTATAATAAAACAAAATTGAAGATTTGTTTTTTCTTGGTGCACTGCCATCAATTACAAAGTCACAACATATGTCTGAATGGTTAGACATATGTCTAATTTTTCACTGGCCTTTATGTTAATCTTTGCAAAGAGATAAAAAACTCAGACTTTATCAGATGATGCTTTTGCAAGATCTCCATTTTTCTAAAAATAATATTTGGGGGAAATACACAGGTGTCTGGTTCCTGTAACTAGAAACCATATATTAGAGAATAGTAATAAAGTTCTTGAAGTGTCCTGGTTTTCATTATATCCTAAAATGAGGACATACAGTAAATCAAGCTGTACTAGAAATAGCAGTGGAAAAGGCTTGGTATATAAAAATACAATTAAAAAAACCTCATACTCTGCACTGTGGTACTAACAACTAATAAATGTTATTGATACTTTTATATTTTTTCTGAATCCTAATATATACATGGTAGTTTCAGTTTGAGGTCAGAGTTTACATTTCCTTTGTATTAAATAATATTACTCATTACTCACTATTTCGTTGTTTAATTAGACAAGAAAGGTTTACATTATTCTATCAAGACAGGTTCAGCATGCGGTATGAAGTTAAAGATGTTTAGCACTTTTGCTTTGTTAACAAATTACACAAGAAATTCGCATTTCAGGAATGGTGGTACCTGTAGTAGTCGAGGACTGGCTGAGTTTGCGTTTCATATGCCTTTAGTCTCTTGGTGACTGTTTCAGGTGTGTCGTCATTCCTCTGTGTCAGAGGCTCACCCGTGACATCATCCAGACCCTGTGCATACAGAGATACAACACAATCATAGAGCGTCTTCTCACAAGGAATACTGAATGAGGGCATTTTCATATCACGCCTGTCAACCTGGGTCTTTCTTCAAAGGTATAAAAAGGAAATTCCCTTGCTTGCTTTTTAAATCTATATCAAATAACACAGCCTTAAAGGAAGACAGTAAGCAATGTCACACATGCCCCTTCCACACACACATTAACTAGTTCTACTTCATGGTTGTCAAATATTTTCACCAGTACACACACTTACACTGTGATCTTATTGCTGGTGAGATTTTTTAAAGCTGCCATGTTATTCTTTTGCAATAATAAATAGCTTTTGTGCAATTAAGTTTAAAAATGGAAGATTATATTGCTTCATTGCAGCATTTATTTTTGAGTACCATTCGTTAACTTAGAAGTACAACCGCACATTTTTACGGGTCAGAGGTCTCATACTCAGTTCCTGACGTTTCTGCTAGTTTCTGTTCCACCCCAACTCTCAGTTACATAGTTGGTGTATTAGAACCAATAGCATTAGTTGCTTTTTTAACACCTCTCATCATACTACAAAAAGACTTAAAACCTGTTACACCTGACAATTTTGTCAACAGTTGAGATAAAGTGTTTGATTATAACAGAAGGCCAAATATAAATAATAAAAATAAAATAATTCCAAAAAATAAAATAACCAATAAAAACTGTATAGGTAGCAAAAAGATATCTAGATAGCTCTTCATTCATGTGAAGCTGTTGGTTCCTCTTCACTTTCCTTTAGTTTTTGATAAATGCAATTCAGTTTCAAACAAAACCTTTCGATCTGTCTAGTAGGTCCAAGCTACTAGAGCCAAAAGGTAGAGATGGTCTCAAAATCTGTCTATACTTAATGCATTGTAACACACCAAGGCAAATAACCTCAATAAAGCCCATTAATGCAATGGTGTGGAAGCCGATACATTTCATGAGGTCCAAATAACTACTAACTACTTATGTTCTTACTCCTTCAGTATTTACAGAAATAAATAATTCCTTACACAGTCTTCCTGTCTATAGACATATGCTCACTGCAGAGAGTCACATTTAAATCTACTCTACATGTACAGCATCTGGTAAAATAAACATACTGTATGAGTATGAAATACAGTATATAGTTGTCACATGTGGTTCATTTAATCTGTACCTTCAGAAGAGCATGCCAAGAGATCTCTGTGCAATCAACTGACCTTCAGCTCTAAGTAAAACAGCTGTCATGGCTATCGAACAGCAGGCATAGAAAATCCACAACACAATTCTGATAACTCTGTTTCAAAAGCCAGATTGGTCAGGTTCATATGTGAATCCAAACATAAAAGTGAAAGAAGCAAAACACACTATAGCATGACTCCCTCTGTATTACAAAATAACTACTAGTATTTACTCCCAGCAATACTACACTTGGCATCAACAGTGTGGGTACAGCCAAGCAGTGCATCATGTTGCATCAGAGAGACCTCCAAAGACATTGATTCTCCTTTTATTTACTGAAGCAGAACACAGGCACACTGCTATGTGAATATTTACCTGCTGCAAGCACTCCCAGACTATTTACCTATGCACAGTCTCTTGTTCACAGCCAAAGAGCTGTTTGCCCTGCTTTAATTGGTGGATAGAGAGCAAAGGTCTGTCCTAAAGGAAACATTTCACCAGGTCTATATTTTATTTGTTTGCTCACAAATTCACTAGATTTGAAGACAGTATCTCGTGTTTTAATCTTGTCTGAACTCACAGCCATTTAATCTGTTTTCTCTGGGCTTATGAAACTGAGTGTTTAAAAAGCTACAGTATAATGGCATACAAAGTCACTTGGATGGCATTACACCACTCCACATTTTCTACCATTTTCCAGTGGTTAGACCACAGAATACCAGCTCAGACATAATCTAAAGATATTTCTTACAGTGCTATAATGACAGCTGGTCATCGGTAGCTCAGCAAGAACCATTCATCAGGTTCACAGGCTCAAACAGGACCTCTGTTTATTGTACAGTCAGAGAATCAAGCTTCAGAAAACATGCATGAATGAGATCTTGGTATTCACACAGTATAGATTCTATACTGTATATGCTCTTTTTTTAACAAAACACAGGAAGCAATTAAAGGGAGCAGGGGGAACTATATTCAAGTTTCACTGTAAAAGCTTTTAGTAAGACCTTATTTAAAGTATTGCATTGTAAATGGTTTCTTTACCACACTGCCAAAGGAAAGAGCTCAAAGAACAATATGAATGATTAAAGGAACTACTGTAAATCTCTTTTGTCGAGAACAAAAGAGAATTTAAGGTCAATTTATGTGATTAAAGTCCTTGCTTCTGTATAAAGATTTCTATAGCCAAAAGATCAAAAAGCGGGTTAACATACTGGAGGGGAGACTCAATTCATACACTAGAAATGTCCAGCAAACACCTGGGTGACACAATGTAGGATCAACTTACAAGGTGTCTAAGATGAGTCTATAGACAAATATCAATACATAAAATCCTAAGGGGGTACATACAGGGTCAGCCCAGAAGACTACTTCAGATTAAACAGCAAGACAATGACATGCAATCACATATTGGAAACTAAATGGGAATTAATTAAGGCTGGTGGATTGGAATCACGTCTATACACAAAGAGTGTGGGTGTCAGGAAGACATTTTCCAGCCAGGTATAAGGCTCAAATTCTCTGTTCTTCAAGAGGCAGGTGGACAAGGTTTAGACTAATTTAGCTACAAAAGTACAAAATGAGCAAGATGGGATGAAAGGCCTTTCCCTGCTTGAAACCATTCTTATGTCCTTATGTAGTAACCTTCTTGTGGTAGAGTGAAATAAATCAGGCCTGTACAGATGGGCAGGGCATGAATTGAATATTAAAAAGAGATGCATTCATCTTCTGTGAACAAGTAGAATTTCTTTTCCTCTGGCTTCGTCCATTATATACAGTATATAAAACATCCCTTGCCTCCTATAATGTAAACCGCTAATAACTAAAAAAACCTTAAGCTATTTAAATGAAAATATAACAGAAATTCTAAAATAAAATATTGAATGTAATAAATACCAAATGTTTATACAAAACTCCGTGAGAGAACTGATGCATTCAGTGTACATCTTAGGGTTATCCAAAACATTTCACTAATTGGTCCGACACTGAAAGCACAGCTGGGTGACAACTTTACTAAACCTTCCATCAGTCAACTCACAGGAATTTTTGGAGGATTGAAGTTGGTGTTGTAGACTCTTCCACTGGCCGGATGGATCCACCGTGAGGTTAGGCGTTCCTTAATGGTCTCAAAAGGCACATCAAGGTTGATAACAGTATCTATGTGGTAGGCGCTGTCCAAAGACTCTGCCTGCGTCACAGTGCGAGGGAACCCTGATCAGGAGGGGAAAAGGGTCCTCTGTTTATTAACATCATTCCACATAAATAGCACTTGCAGTCTTCTCTAGGAGCTCAAGAGCCAAAATGGTGGTACACATAGCATTTACTATGTAAATAAGGATGTATAAGTCAAGCCCAATGTTTATTATACTTTAGCTTATCTTTTCCTTTTTAAAAGGAAAACTGAGGCTGTTGCTGAAAGATGTGTATCACAGTTAGTCATGAATGATAAATTAATCGAAATGATGCCAAATATGTGCTGTTAAAAAATCAATCAACTAAATTTTTCTAAAAATAAACATGCTTTAACTGCTAAGTTTCTATTAATGCTTAGGATATGAAACGGTGCAGCTTTTAACTTCTGTGTCATCTTCTGACAGCCTGCGGGTGCAGGCCACTAATAGCAGATGCTATCTATATGATAAAAAACCCTCACAAACTCCTCTGTTCAAAAGGCTTTCATACACCTGAGTCTAAAACAAACTTGGGTCTTTCTGAATGACATGTTCAAGAAGAGAAAGAGTTGTGACTTCATTAAATTAAAGACTAAGGGGCAAATAATATGAAGAGTTTTGGTTTGGTAACCGAACTTGAAGCCACATGGCAGTGAAACTGAAAACAGAAACCATGAGCAGGTAAAAATCATTTTACATGAAAAAGGTTAGCAAATTCTTGAAGATGACAAAGTGGTAGCAACTTAAATCCCCTTTTTGTGAAATTCAAAATGCTGATAAAGCATAAATATATACTCATCTGACATTTTTAACCTTGGTTAGTTTGTTCACTACCTTCATGAAACAGTAGCAAAGTGTGAAGTTTGCAAATAGCCAAGAAGACTTTATCACAATGAGATAAGAGGAGTACATGATTATGTAATACTAGGCAAATACAAAAAAGGCAAAACATTTTTTTTGTCTTGTATGTAGATTTAGCAAAAACTAAGACTAAGCTGATCTCTTTTATGATGATTTTTATTATAATCTACCAACAAGAGTATAAAACCTAAATAAATTAATGGCCTCTTATATATATGTTTTTGTTTCTCAAACGAGAGAAATAGATCGGATACTCACATTTCCCAATTAGCACCTTCATCACCATAGCAATTTTCAAAACCTGTCAGGATGCCATTACCTCATTATATGTAAAAACATCAACTGGCATTTACCAACAAACAAGAAAAAAATATGTTTGCAAGAGCTTATGTACAAGTATTCACAACTCCAGCAGCAGTGAACAGGCACAAACTAGCAAAAGCAGAAGTGGCATTCTGAAGAAGGAGAAGAAAACAGGTTGGTGGGTAATCTTCAAAGCTGTGCTACCGGGATTCAGGGTGCAGTTCAATACCAGTAATAACACTAAATTAAATTACTGTACCACCCCATGCACTGGTTTGGAAATATAAGCCAATCCCCACTGCAGGTCTAGCCTCTCATATGAGAAATACTATAGTCTCACATTTCATAGACAAAATGCAATTAGCAACCATATTACCCTGCAACTCACAACTGACAAACCATTGAAGCTAAGCAGATGTGAGCCTAGTCAGTATCTTGATGGGACACCTCCTGGGAAAAACTAAGGTTGCTACTGGAAGAGGTGTTAGTGGGGCCAGTAGGGGTTGCTCACCCTGCAGTCTGTGTGGGTCATAATGTGCCAGTATAGTGATGGGGACACTATGCTCTAAAAAGGCTCTGTCCTTCGGATGAAATGTAAAATCGAGGTCCTGAGTCTCTGTGGTCCTTAAAAGTCCCAGGGTGTTCCTCAAAAAGAGAAGGGGTGTTACCTAGGCATCCTGGCCAAGTTTCCTATTGGCCCTTACCAGTCATGACCTCCTAATAATCCCCATCTATGAATTGGCTTCATCACTCTGTTCTCCTCCCCACTGATAGCTGGTGTGTGGTAAGTCTAATGGTGCACTATGGCTGCCGTCGCATCATCCAGGTGGGTACTGCTCATTAATGGTGGAAGGAAGTCCCCATTAACCATAAAGCACTTTGAATGAAGTATCCACAAAAGTGCTAAATAAGTAAGGAATTATTTTCCTACCACCTACAGTAAGAACACCTCAACATTTTCCCTTTTTAAAAATAATGTTTTGA